GCACTAGCAGGTAGAACTGTTTAGTAGACAAGTATACAAGACACTAAATAATTTAAGACAACGCATTAAAATAAAGACGGAAACAAAAGTTACATTAGGGTCTACAACAATATACCAATAGTAGAAAAAGAAACGTATAATAGCTTTTCAAAAAAAGACTACAATATACACAGACAGGCAAAAAAATTCCATCCAATTGATTTTTTTGTTCATTTTCTCGATAAAAGAAAATTCTGCCCTTAATTTGCCTCATAGTTTTTATCAATAAATTTTTCGTTCATGCTGTTTTAAATTGGGAATATAAATTAGTGGTAAACACACTTCATCCTTAATCCAAAACAAGGATAAAGGATTTTTCATTGGTTACTTTCTACGGAATTTAAAATGTTTATTCAGTCTCATTTGACTTCTGAAGCAATAAACTGTTTAGTTTTCATCTTTGTTTTCTTAATTGCAATTTTCAAACTTTAATATGCCACTTAGCGCTGAGGATGTTGCGTGTGGTGTAGCGCTTATTGATGATGGACGTTCCATCAGGTGTGCAGCTATTGCTCTGATTTCTCTACGAAATACTACGAGACGCTTAGACGTTTTTCAATAAACTGGGTCCTACCATAGAAGGCCCGGTTCTGGACGCCCTAGGGTAATAGGACCATAGGATGATCGTTTTTTGACTACGAGAATTTTGCACCGGCACCTTACTATTGTTCAAGCGATTCATCTGCTCCAGGAAATTCGAGGAGTCAAAATTTCTGAACGCCCTGCTCCAAGAGGATTACATCAGTATGGACTGATGGCGTTTCGCCCCGTAAGAGGACCAGAATCGACCAGAACACACAGAGTTGCACGGCTCGCATTTGCTCGCGAGCACAGCCTTTCTTTGGACGATTGGTATGGTGTACTTTCTACAGATGACTGTACATTTGCTCTACGATCTCCAGATGGGCGTGAAAGAGTGTAGAGAAGACTAAATGAAAGGTACGAAGATTGTAATTTTTCCCAGAGCCTACCTTTTCTTCGTAGCTTAGTGATGGTAAGGGCGGGAAATTCAATGGAGAGCCGCACAGAGTTGGTTTTTGGATGAACTTTTGGAACATTATGTGTTCCCTATCCTCGATGAAATCGGCGACAATCCTATTCTAATGCAAGATAATACCCGTCAACATGTCGCTCGCATAGTACAAACGTACATTCAACAGCATAAGATCAGGATCTTAGCCTGGCCAGCCCGTTCTCCAGACCTGAACCCCATCGAACATTTATAGAATAACCTCAAAAGACGAATAAGAGCACGTCCATACACTCCACGATCTTGAAAGGACTCTTCGTGAAGAATGGGCTGACCTCCAGCTACGAGACATTTCCAGACTTGATAGAAAGTACGCCGATGAGTCTTCGAGGACATAAGGCAAAAGAAGGAAATACGCGATATTGAAATGTTAACTAAAAATCTAATTGAAACAAATTTTATCTATCCGTCTTTTTTTAGATTTATTTTCCTTAGCAATTTACATTTTTTTAAACGTTTTTAGACAGACTCAATTATTAAACGTTAAAAAACGTGAAACTTTGATTAATATAAAAATATATACAAATCAAGTTATATTACAAGTGGCTGGAATTTTTTACCTGTCAGTGTACTAATGAATGAATCACGATATAACTCGGGAGTAATTGGAAGTACTCCTTTGATTCATGCGTAAATGAGTAATTAATGTTTTAAAAAGAGATTCTACGTTCAATGTCAATAAGATCGCAAAAAAGAGTTATGTTTAATTATTCCTTAGAAGTTGATGTTTGCAAGGGATATTCCATTCAATATATTATTTTTCTATTTTTCATTCCCTCTCTATCAAACTATGGATCTCTTTTTTGTCTATTAACAATTATTTTTGTTTATCTACATCTTGGTCTACCTTGCACGATTACCACTTAAACTATCATAAACAAAGTAACGAATAACATTTATTTAATTATATTTGGTTTATTAGTTTTGTTGATCGGATTAATAACATTTGTGGACGTTGCCGGAAATCGATAATACATTTTTATTACATTTACCAGACTGTTCGAACGTCAAAGAAAATTTTAAAAAGAAATTTTAGTCAATGATGCTTATCGTTCAAAATATGGTTTTTTAGAGTGTTATTAAATTTTCCCCCATGATACCAGCAAAACTACTTTCGATCATCAGTCAGGATGAAACGTTCGCAGTTGAGGTTGGATTTTTTTGGTGAAGTTAAAAACATTTCAACTGGTCTGAGAGCACTATTGAGTCAGAATTTTCTCCTCTTTCGCAGGCTGATAAAAAATGTTAAGATATCGTACATTACTGATGTACTAAAGGTAATTGTACGACCTAATAGTAATGTACTAAAGTTAAAATTAATTTAATTGCTCTTGATGAAGAAGTTACAAAATGGAACTTATTTAGCTTGACTTTTCCTCTTGAATGATTATTCTTGATGTTTATTGAAATAATTTTTGGCATGTGGCTATTTTTGTCTTCGTTTTGTACGTTGTAAAATGGAGAAAAGGAAAGTGATTGTTTGATGTTAAAAATAAACTTTTCGAGTTTCCTCATTAACTCTTTTTCTATTATGCACAGGGGTTGGTGTTGTGGGAGGAAAACGCCACTACACTTTCGCTCATTAAAAGAGGGATAATCCGGCTTTTCTCAACAAAAAAAGAGCGAGTGACGCAATTCCTTTTGGTGAGGTGTAACAATAGAATGGTCACATCACCGATATATACTGGGATTCCTTGAAACCTAATTCATAGATATATAAAGAAAGCGTACGAAACATAAAAAAACTTACTTTTAAATCCATATTTATTATTTATATGAATATTTTTATAGCGTTCGTTTTCAACAAGTTCCGGCTTATTGTCACATTTGGTCCAGCTTACAGGATAAAACATAATTTTTTTTCTTTTGTTTTATTTTTGAAGCCTATGTACATAATACCCAAAAATGTTTTACAATTTCGATATTTATTATTTATATGAATATTTATATCGTTTGATTTCAACAAGTTCTGGCTTATTGTCATATTTGGTTCTGCTTACAGGATAAAACATAATTTATTTTCTTTTGTTTTTGTTTTAAAGCCTATGTACTTAATATACAAAAATGTTTTACAATTACCAAAATATCTATTTTTACTGATAAATAACGGAAGTGCAGAAATGATTCGATAAAACTCTCGTAATCATGAAAATCAGTTTATGAGAAGAATTAAGCCGACAAAGAAGAAAATAAATTAGATAGGTAAAGTTTGTCGTTCTGATGTTTAAGTCTTGGCCGTGACTTGTATTTGTCGATGAGTACTGGCGTATGTGTTTGTTCAAAACGGAGACACAGATGGTAGCTGGCAGTTTTAGCACGATTTTTAGTTTTTGTGCGTGTTTGTATGTGATAGATATGTAGAACAATAGATATAGAAACATAGACAGATATATTAATAGAAAGATATACATATANACACGCAAGAATGGCACAATTACACAGAAGACAAACACTTTGAGCCCTGAAGATGATCTCAATAAAGATCGAAACGTTGGCACGATAAAGAAAATTTTTTTCTGAATCCTACATCACACCAGACCGCATCTCACGATTTCTAAATAAATAAAAAAGAAAGTGAGAGAGAGAGAGAGAGAGAGAGAGAGAGAGAGAGAGAGAGAGAGAGTGGGATAGCGTTAGGAATAGAAAGGGAAAAGAAAGAAGAGAGTGCGAGAAAGGTAGATTGGTTAAGATAATATATAAAACCAGAAAAAGTATGTTAGAAGGGCAGGCCGATAGACATACACTTTTGCCCAAAAAAAGCTCGCTTATTTTGAACATAATAATCATCAAACAAGCACAAAAATGAAATTTAAAAACACTTTTCATATTTCTTTTCATTGGGTAGGCTATAATTTTGTCCTGTCACATCATGATCTCGCCCATCAAGGCCGTTGGGGGAGAGTGAAGCTATTGGGTTGGTGAGAAATAAATTAATGCTGGTTTTGAAAATTTGTTTTATTTTCGCAAGTGTTTGCAATGTAAACAAAGCTAAAACCTCAAATCTAATTTAACGATGATAATAAATACTTTTAACCAATAACTTTTATACAAAACGTTTTAATTTATTAAACCATTTATGTTTAGTGGCCTAATTGATTATATTAATTACTAATTTTCAAACAATTGATTAAAGAAAATTCTTATAAGAAAATAGGGGAAATTAAGGAAGAGCTTAGTGATGACCACTCAACCGTTGTTCACCAACTTTAGCAAATTGGTAAAGAAGCTCGAAAGTGGGTACCGAACGAACTAACTGAAGCCCACAGAAATCGACGCTTTGAAATTTGCACGTCACCTCTGCTGCCCCACTAAAATAATCCATTTCTCGATCGAACCATCACGTGCGATAAGAAATGGATTCTGAACGATAACAGGAGGCGTAAAGGTTGGACAAGGATGAAGCGCCAAAACACTCCCCGAAACAAATCTGCACCCAAAAAAGTTTATGGTGTGTTTAGTAATGTACTATTGGGGTTGTTCACTATAATTTCCGGAATTATGGTGATACTATCACAGCAGAGAAATATTGCTGAGAAATTGACAAAATGCAGGGGAAATTGCAACGACCTAGTCCAGCATTGGTAAACGATAACACCAGACCATATGTCGCGATGTCAACCCTGCGGAAACTAAAGAACTTCGGATATGAAACCTTACCGCACCCTCCATATTCACCCGACCTCACCGTACAAACTTCCACATTTTTAGGCATTTTGACCTCTTGAGGAATAAAATTTTTAGAGAACGCGATGAAGCCGAAAACGCCTTCCAAGACTTTATTTTAAGTAGAAATAAATATTTTTATGTCAGTGTATAATAAAACTACGATATTGTTTGATCGAGTAATCGATGGCTTGGGCAAAACATCGATGTTACGCAAACATCAGGTGGTTGGACATCGATGAATCATAAACATCACGTACTCGATATTCGATAGTCGATACCCAACCCTGCTTTTATGTACAACCACAGTTCACCTTCCACATTGGTTTGTTTTGAATGTTATTATCAGGGATGATCCCTGTTTTTCCGAATTATTCGCTATTGGAATATTTGCTTTATTATTTAAGTTCCCACGATGCGATTTTTAGAACTTTTCAGCGGCATTGGTGGCATGCACGTAGCCCTAAAAGGTTTGTTTGTATTACTGCTACATTTTATTTATTTATGTTCTAATATATTTATCCCATTCGATAGAAAGCGGAATAGATTTTGAAGTAGTGCTTGCTGTAGACATAAACGAAGTCGCAAACAAAGTCTACAAGTATAATTTTCCAGAAACAAAGCTCCTCCAAAAAAACATTCAGTCGCTTACAAAAACTTTCATCGATGAGTTGGACATCAATGGGATTTTGATGAGTCCACCTTGTCAGCCGTTCACCAGGCAAGGCAAGAAATTCTTTTTTTTATTTATTTCTGTTTATTTATTTATTTTTTTAATTATTTTAGGCTGGGAAACAAGAAAGATATTGAGGACAAGAGATGTTCAGCATTGTCACATTTGACTGACTTGATCCCTGAGCTTGATACAAAGCTTAAGTACATACTGCTTGAAAATGTGAAAGGATTTGAAGTTTCTGAGGCTAGAAATGCTTTGGTTAAACGTTTAGAAGGCAGTTTTGAAATCAGGGAGTTCCTTTTGACTCCATTGAATTTTGGCATACCAAACAGCAGACTTAGATATTACTTATTGGCTAAAAGAAAGCCTTTAGAATTTAAATTCGATAATAAACTTGTATGTTTATTTTTCAACTCAATTTTTGTTATATATTGTAGTGTAAATAAGACTTTTTTCAGCACACTTTCATACCAGGGAGTAAAGAAGAATTGGTGAAAGACATCAGCAAATATATAGAATTGAGTGACAACAATGAAAACAATGATTACACTCTTTCGCTAGAAACCCTCGCTAAACGAGTATGGGTGATTGACATCGTAAATAAAACATCTAAAAACTCCTGTTGTTTTACAAAATCATATGGGCGATTTTTGGAAGGCACAGGATCGTTGTACTCGCCCTTGCAAGCGAATAGAATTGCAGAGATAAGATCATCATTGAGAGACTGCGAAAAGGAGAGTTTCAACAAAGCCTTGTCCTCGTTGAAGCTGAGGTATTTTACACCGACAGAAGTCAAAAGGCTTATGTGCTTCAACAAAGAGTACAGTTTTCCTGACTCTGTGACTTTAAAACAGACGTACAATCTACTTGGGAACAGTGTGAATGTTAAAGTTGTTTCAGAATTGTTAAAAGTTTTAATAAATGATTGATTTATGTATAAATTATTTATTTTTTGTTTTTATCTATCGCCTTGCTAACTTCAAACAGTGAATTCTGAATCTCTTTTCAAACAACAGTTTGTGTTCTGGGTTGAACTTATTAGAAACTTCTTATATTAGATGCTAACAAGCTAAAAAAATTGATGGGAGGAGTTTGTGTAATTTGATCTGTCCCCTAAAAATGGAAAATGCAAAAAAAAACCTAGATTAACCCAGCAAGAGTATGTGTAGACTGGAGTATCTCTAAATTGTTCTTTTTTATAAAGAAAAACAGGGCAGTCCTAAGGAATTCTGATTAAGGTTATTTTTATTGAGTTCCATTTCCAGTTGAGGAATCACCAAGAGAAGATAATCCGAGGTAGTTATCCCTGTTTATCTAAATTAAATACCACTTCCTGGAGCGTATTGCATCAATTACTTGCAACTGTACATAGAAAAACGTTTGATCCAAGTAAATGACTTTAAATGTCAGAATCGAACTGCGGGTTAAGACAACTAACAAATGTGTGGTGATTAGTGACCGTTAATCGATATTTATTTAGAAATCGTGAGATGCGGTCTGGCACTCTCGACACGACACACAAGAATGGCACAATTACACAGAAGACAAACATTTTGAGCCCTGAAGATGATCTCAATAAAGATCGAAACGTTGGTACGATAAGGAAAATGTTTTTCTGAAACCTACATCACACTAGACCGCATCTCACGATTTCTAAATAAACAACTAACAAATTTCTAATTTTCAAGGCAGCTCTTTTAGCTCCTATATGGACTTATTGACTGGAACGGTATGGGATGGCTAAACACTCAAACCTTAACGGGATGCAATCCAGAAAAAAAAAATTCCACACAACCATGTTCTTTCCTTTATTAGTTAGTAACTATGTTCTCCACAACACTTCCCTGAATCTCATATGTTATTAACCTAGTCAAATTCCAATACCTTAAATTCCACTCTAAATCATCTTCTCTACATTCCAAATCCTTCGAAGGTTGAGTAATGTAGTAACCAATTCTCAAGGTATGGTTACCGCTGGCTCATATTCCCTCTTAACTCACCACTTATATTATTTCTTTGTAAGATAAGATCTTTTTATTGCAAAAATTAATGCAGTGGTAGATTAATAAAACAAAAGGAAAAAAGAAGAAGATAATCAGAGGTAGATTCTTCTTCCTCACAGAGCCTGTACATTGGTTCATTTCTGTTGATTCTTCTCTATTCATAGAATTAGGATGACTGTCCTAGCTATAGACTAATCAACTTTCTCCAAACAGGAATTCATCAACTACAAAATATTTCTGTTGTTTGTTGATCAAATAAGTTGTATTTTTATGTAAACACATTTGTATTAGCAAATATAAATAACATTGAGAAAAGGCGAATTTTAGCTGTACAAATTTTCCCTGCATTCATCACATACTCAATATGTTTGTTTATTGAGCATAGCAGTGATTTGCAATACTATAGACTTTTGATTAGGGTTATTTCTGTGTAAAATGGTCTATCCAATTGACAATTCACAGTAGAAGATAATCCGGTAGATGATTTTTCCTTGCAGAATCTGCAGAGTGCAGATGGGTTTATTTGTGTTGATTCTTCTGTATTATTAACATTCTCTCTATTGCCTCCATCAAGGATCACCCACCTTGGGTGTTAGCAGTTTGGGGTTAGATCTCGGTCTAATCTATCCAACCACTGAGGTTGGACTCCAGGGGCTATCAACTGCTAGGTAATTTCAACTCCCAGTGTAATCAGTCTCTAAATTGAAACCCATTCACATTCTCGCTCATTCTTAAATACATTCTTTTTTATTTATAAACCATTTACTCAGTTACAGTGGTGGAATACATGATACTCCTCAAACTTCACACCTATTATACAACTAACCTAATTGAGAGTTGATGGGTTCACAATATTTCACTATCAGCCCTCTCACACCAAATAGACCCACTAATAAATTCATTCAGTCTCAATATACTCAAAGAAATACAAGGCTATACAGTAAAATAGACCTGTTAACTTCAAAAATTGGAGCAGGGGACCAAATATTCACACCCTGCTCAAACACAATTCTCATATTGGTTGGTATTCTTACATGCTCCCTACATGGAGCCAAAGTATTGAATTCAATTATGTGGGACACATTGACAACCTATCTCTACATGCTAGGCCCATATTTATGCTTTGGCCCAAAAGTGTCAACCTCATGGCCTAATGTGTCTGTAGGATGAGGATGTTTCCTTTTCTATGAGAGTCACAGTTGATACAAGAAAGCTTTTCTGCCGATCTAGCTGAAGGCTGCCACTTCCTTTTAATTGTTTTTTGACACAAAAGTGTATAGAGTGAGTGAGTTATTAAACAATTATGTCAAAATTGGAGCTAATGCATAGTACAATGTGTACAAGAGGTGTTTTATCACATTCAACTTTGATTAACTGACCAATAGCATTTTCAAGTTTCCACAGTTAATGGAAAAGTTAGAAGAAAGTTATGTTGTACATTGGTAAACTTTTATTGGCCAGACACCAGAAAAATAATCAGTAAATATTTCTGTTATGAATAATTGTAATAATTTTTAATAATTTTTTCTACTATCCACTCGATACGTTGCTGGATTATTGATCAAACAATGTCTGTGGAGCGGCCTGTTATTACTTATTTAGGGAGTACTAGATACTCAATTAAAATATCGTGGACAAGTTGTAAATCTAATGGAGAAGAACTTTCTTACATAGTACAAATCGAAGACCGAGTATATGACTGGATAACAAAATATTGGTAAACAAACAATTTAAAAGTTTGGTAATATTTTTTCGATAATTTAGTGACAATAGTGCTCTTTTAAGGGGTTTACAAACTAGCACTGAAATAAGAAATTTGTCTCCAGAGGAAATATTTTCAGTAAGAGTTGGTTATGTCAAAAAAATCGAAGAAGAATGGGACGATGAGGTTGTTTGGAGTGATGTATCCATCTTGGCCTCAAAATGTAACTTTTAAAGTTATTTATGTCAGTATATATTGAATGTTTTGCTTGTATTATTGTGTTTTAGTCGATTTACCTTGGAGTTTTTATTTATTTCAAGACATTGAGAGATTTTCAGAGGAAAACATCAACAATTTTATACAAGAGAGGTAAACATTTTAAGTTTTATATAATATTGTTAAATAAAGATAGGTTTTTCTTGTTAGAAATTGGGAGATTGGAGTTTTAAACAGGCAGGGAGAAACTGCCCTTATGAAAGCAATCCGTTTTAAAAATGATTCCGCGTTGAAGCTCCTTATAAGTGGAGGGGCGGATATCAATGAACAACTTTGGCCAACATTTCGTTCTCCTTTGATGAATGCATGCTACTATGGAAATTTAGAAGCGGCCCAAATCCTGTGTACAAAAGGCGCAGATTGGAGCTTAAAAGATATGTAAGTTTTATTTTTTTAATTTTGTTTAAATACATGAATATAAGAATGTTAGAAATGGCATGGAGGCTCTTCACTACGCAGTCGAAGCATCACAGATTGATTTAGTCAAATATATAATTGAATGTGGCGCATATATCAATTCAAAAGATAATTCCGGCTGGACACCACTTATGATAGGAAGTAATATTCCTTTTTTTTTTTTTAATTTAAAACATATTATACTTCAATGTATATTTTTTTCAGTTATTATGGGTGCTGACTATGAATCTCTCAAGTTTTTAATAGATAACGGTGCGGAAATAAAAACAGAGGACAATTGGAAAAGAAGTTGTTTGAGAATGTCAAAAATTGTCGACCTAGATGAGGACAAGAGGAGACTTTTTGAAGCGAAAGAAGACGAAAAAGGCCTTGATGAAAGTTCAGCCTGGAATTCCAATGGTGAAAAAAGTGAAGAAGAGTCGGATATGGATATGCTCGCTGAATATACAGACACGATAACATGGATTTTACAAGAAGGCACAAAAAAAGAAGGAGAAAAAGAACTTGTTAAAGAAAATGCTGAAAGCGAAGAACCTGAAAAAACACAAAGCATCTCCAATAAAGTCACTTTACCCAATCATACAGAAACAGGGACTAATCAGGAAATAAATACTGATGCAACTACTATAGAAAATACACCATGTTAAAAATAAAAATATTTTTAAACATTTATGTTGATTTGAGACATAAGAAAAAAAAATCTTTTGAAAATTGTTATAGGTTTAACAAAATATATTACAATTTAAAAATATTGGAAAAATATTTGATGTTGGATTTGTATACATCAATCAATAGGTAAATAGATAAACATCTAACATAGACAAATTATATGGAACACTAGCAAGGTGAAAAAGTACATATAACATTTTTGCTTTCAGAGTCAAGGTATTGGTTTACAAAGAGGGTGTTTTAAGACCCTTATTTTTTAAATATTTCTCTAGTGCTTATTTGGGAGCAGTAAAAACTAAAAATAACAAATATATAAACTATATCTCAATTTTATTGTTTTACTATAACCTCAAAATGTTAAACATGTAACGTTTTAACTTTCAAAACCAAGATCTGGATTTATCAAGGGTATGTTTTAAGTCCCACTTTTTTACTATTCTTAAATTACTTATTTGAGGGGAGTAATATATAAAAATACCAAAAACCTAAACTATGTCCCAATTGTATTGTTTCATTATAACCTCAAAATTGTATACACATGTAAAATTTTGGCTTTTAGGATGAAGATATGGGTTAATATTTTTCATAAGAGAGTTCTTACTTACAGTTTGTTGTTTTCGAATATCAGGATTTCACGGTTAAAGCTCATCATCAGGATGAAAGAAGTTACAAGCACGTCTCTCGACACGAACTGAAGATCGGATCATCAGACAATGCGACGGTCCAATGAGAAGCCGGTTTATTTTGCCGCTCAATTTAAACCTGCGAAAAGCCGAAATTATAACATAACTAAATATTATCTGAATAAATCCTTAAAAAATTTAATTAATTAATAAAAATTTAATGAATAAAAAAATCCTTTACGGGGTTCATGATTTCCTGCAATTTATTGTTTGGGTCCAAGAAATAGGTTTCAATAGATTTTAAAATTATTTCTTATCTACCGTAGTGGTAATGAGGTGGTCACTGTATTGATAATGATAATAACTTAACATCGGGTAAAATAAATATAAATTCTAAAATAAATATTTATAAATTTATTATAGTAATAANATATATATATATCATAAAAGGTGGGGAAAAATATAAATAATGTAGCAGTAATTATACAAAAATACCTTTTTATAGTCAATATTACATAGCCGATTTTGAGACTAGGAAGAACCAAGAAATCAGCTAGAAACAAAAATTATCCCACCCAAAAATGTATTTTTTGCTATACATATTTTATCTCTATTTTATTGATAACTTAACATCGGGTAAAATAAATAAAAAATATAAAACAGATATTTATAAATTCATTATAATGATAAGATTTACTTTTTTATATAAAACTATTACTAAAACGTATAAAAACGTAAAAACTCGCAAAAAATATACATGTACATACACATTAAACTTAACAGTAATTACATATTTAATAAATCTAATAAAACTTAAAATATACTTCAAAACAATATGATGTAGCAATAATTGTCAAAAACACTAGCTTTTTATACTCAACATTGTAAAGCCGATTTTGAGACTAAGTGAAAGAACGAAATCAGTGTGAAAAAAAAATTACTCCAAGCTTATCCACCCAAAAATGACTTTTTTACAAAATAGATTTAAAGGTTTTAAAGAGTTTTTGAAATATAAAATTTCTTTAAATTAAAATAAAGTAAAACGAAAAAGTGTTTAATATTATCTAGTCTTGTTTCAAACTTTTATCTTTTGTTTGAGAAAAATTGTACAAGGTACTTCAGGCCCAGTTCAACTTCAAAATATCAAATACGACCCTATACATCCTGACACGTCATTTTAAAGGATATTTTACTCTCAAAACAATGGTGCAATCGGATTTTAAATTGGTCAAAAAATGACTTTCTCTTTCTCTCATTATCATTCCATCAATCTATCAATTTTATCTATTCATCTATCTATCTATATTTATTTATGTCTATCTCTATTTCTATCTCTCATTTTTTCTTTATCTCTCTACTTATCTTTCTTCTTTTACCCTTCTCTTCATTTATCTTTCTTTATTTTTTCGTGATATTTTCTCTTGCACTTTATTATTTCCCTCCCTCTCCCTCGTTTTGTATCACTTACTTTCCCCTAACGCTTTCCACGATCCTTCACGTTCTTGGTCTCTTTCACACTTTTTCTTTCCTCTTCTCGGTCTCTCATTTTTCCTTTTATCTCTCTCTCCCCCTCCCTCTCTCTCTCTCTCTCTCTCTCTCTCTCTCTCTCTCTCTCTCTCTCTCATTATATTATTCTCTTTCTTTCCTTTTCTCTCGTTCTTTAATTTTCTCTATTTCTCCCTCTCCCTATCTTTCTCCCTATATCTACCTATCTATGAGGCTATCTATACCGGGTGTTCTTTTTAGATGGCCCGGCCGAATTTCTCCTGAACCAATGACGCTATCAAAAAACGAAAAATACGTGTTTAATATTATTTAGTCTAGTTTCAAATTTTTACCTTTTGTTAGAGAAAAATTATATAGTTGACCAGTTCAACTTCAAAATTTCCAATATGACACTATACATCCTGACATCATTTTAAAGGAGTTTTAATAAAAATAATGGTGCAATTTTACATTGGTCAAAAAATAACAAAGTTATGGCAAAAAGTTTGAAAAAAAAGTCATTTGTTTTGCTGTTTATTAATCACATTTTATGTTAACCATGAACTATCAGAAAAAGTAGGTAAAATTCTTAAACGAGAAAGCTTTCGAGTAGCTTTTAGAGGTACATGTTTATTGACTTTGTTTTTTGATTTTGTCAAAAAGGGGGTTTACTGGCTTAATTATAATGATTGCCATATTAAAAATATAGGACAAATTGATAAATTAAAACGATAGTTAAAGAACACTTCACCAAATCGAACAAATGTTCTGAATTTAAGAACCATCTAAATAAAACAAAACCTAATTTAAATTTAAATTTAAATACAACAGTGCTACACAGTTCCAACAACGGGAGGGCACTAGATTGGTTTGAAAATTTTGAAATAAAAATATGTAAAGGTAAACTTGGATGCATAAATAATATAATTGATTTTGATTTACCTCCTATTTTAAATTTGTACCTAAATAATATTTGCCGCAAATTAACCCTTTATAGGATAATGGCAAGTATAGCGACCACTTCTATATCTCCGCACGCTGTCGTTTTTTTTCGAATGTGGTTGCATCGTTGGGCTTAGTTAACGGGACTTACTCGGTGCCAATTGCGTCCATAGAAAATAGTTCAGGGGATATTTTTAGTTTTGTGGTCAGTATAGTTGCCACAGTTCTTTGCTAGCAAGGCATTGTTAGACTTTATTGTTATGTTATTTACTTTTTTTCCACCTTATTGTTTATCTTTTTTGTAGAGTTTTATATATTTATTTATTTATGATATTTTTTATTTATTAAGAACTTTTAAATTTCAAGAGCCCTTTAAAACCCATAAATCGATGTTTTATAGCAAAAAATACATTTTTAGGTGGATGGTTAATAGTAATTAATAATAAGGATAATTTTTGTTTCAAGCTGATTTCGTGGTTTCACTTAGTCTTAAAATCGGCTTTGTAATATTGAGTATAAAAAGCTAGTGATTTTGTCAATTGTTGCTACATCATGTTTTTTCAAGTAGACCAAGAGACCAAGAACGTGAAGAATCGTGAAAAGCGTGAGGGGAAAGAAAGTGAGACAAAACGAGGGAGAGCTAAAGAAAAAATGAGAGATAGAAATAGAGATAGACATAGACAAATATAGATAGATGGTTGGATATATACGATTGATTGATTGATGGAGGGATAGTGAGAGAAAGAGTCATTTTTTGACAAATGTAAATTCCGATTACACAATTGTTTTCAGCGTAAAATATCCTTTAAAATGACGTGTTAGGATGTACAGGGTCGTATTTGAAATTTTGAAGTCGAACTGGGCCTGAGGTAAGTTGCATAATTTTTCTCCAACAAAATGTAAAAAATTGAAATAGACTAAAAAATAATAAACACGTATTTTTTTGTTTTTCTGATAGGCTCATTGGTTCATGAAAAATTCCGTCGAGCCTTTTTCGTCTTTTTTATTTATTTATTTTAATTTAAAAAAATTGTACATTTCAAGAACTCTTTACAACCTTTAAATAGATTTTGTAAAAAAGACATTTTTGGATGGATCAGCCTGGAGTAATTTTTGTTTCAAGCTGATTTCGTTCTTTCACTTAGTCTCAAAATCGTCTTTGCAATATTGAGTATAAACCTAGTTTTTTTTTATTTTTATAATTATTGCTAATCATATTTTTTCAAGTATATTTTAAGGTTTATTAGGTTTATTAAACATGTAATTATTGTTATGTTTAATGTGTATGTGGTAATTTTTGTTTTTATGTTTTTCTACGTTTTAGTAACAGTTTTATACAAAAAAAATAAATTTTATCATTATTTTATATTATTAAATTTATATAATTAAATTTATAAATATCTATTTTAGAATTGTTATTTGTTTTAACGGATGTTAAATTACTTTTAACAATAAAAGAGAAATTTAAAAAAAATATAGCAAAAAACACATTTTTGGGTGGATCACCCTTGGGTAATTTTTGCTTCTCGCGGATTTCGTTGATCCACTTACAAGGGGACGACCAGGTTGGTGTTTCACAGATTTGGACCAAACATTTTTTTTTTGCGTTTCTACACACCAAAATACCTGACACGTATCCTCCAGTTCTTGTGAATAGGCCCTAGTTTCGCTAAATTTTTTTTATGAAGGTTGAAATTTACCGTTTTTTATATTTTTAATACGCTGTTCCACATGCTCATATCAACTATGTGTACCACTCCACAGCATTTTTTATGCAGATTGCAATCATACTATAGTAAAAGCTAACAAAGTTTATCAATAACCAAAAAACTTCAAAAACATAAAAATTTTTGTTTGTTAAAACTAATATGAAATTTTGTATCAGCACCTCTAGCCACCCTTAAATAGAAATTTTGGCTTGGATTTAAATTTATCTA